AGGATTCAGTAGCATTCACATAAATGTATTTTACCACTTTTATGATGTAAACATATAATGTGAAGAGCTTAGACTGCAGAGATTCTAATAGATTAGTGCTTAGCAGAACTTCCTAAAGAAGTGGAAGTTATGAAGCCATACCATCAATAACTAAATCATCATCCTGGGCATTTTTTTTCTTTTGAGATAGATTTTTTCCATAATTATCTTTAAAATGAAAATTCTCATGCTTGCTTCATTGAAAAGTATTTCTTATTTTCATGTATTTCATCAAAATATTTTACTTATTTAGTTGAAAAATAGAGGGTTAACAAAATCTGTGGTACTAATTGGATATTTTTATTATTGTATGCTATAAGACATTACTATAACATCGTATCCTTTCTAGGTAGAAATTAAGATTTTAAAAGGCAGTAATAATAAACAGTAACTTTTTTTTTCTTCTTCCTCAGTTTGGACGTCACAGACTAAACCCAGAAAACAGAACATTGGGAAGTCTTCGAAATGTTCTCTATCTTCTTCACCAACGAGTAAGGTGAGCTTTATAGATGCTTCACCTTCTGTCCACTCCTTCAACACCTGTCTCTACCAAGGAGTGGTTGGATTTGCTTCTCTTACACTACTACCTTGGCAATGGCAGCCTCAAAAACCTGTCTTGCATGCTGTGCTCAGACATTTCTCATTTTAGGAGCTCGATATAATATGACAGCATTTCAGCACTGGGCATGGTGTCTCATCCCTGTAATTCTAGCACTTTCGGAGGCTGCTGAGGGAAGATCACCTAAGGTCAGGGATTTCAGGCCAGCTTAGGCAACATAGCAAGACCCTGTTTCTACAAAAAAAATTTAAAAATCAGAGACCTCATCTCTCCAAAAAAAAAACAAATTTAGCCAGGCATGATCCCACACACCTGTAGTCCCAGCTACTCAGAGGCTGAGGTGGGAGAATTGCTTGAGCCTAGGAGTTTGAGGTTGCAGTGAGTTGTGGTTGCACTACTGCTTTCCAGCCTGGTGACAGAGCGAGACTGTGTCTCTTTAAAACAAATAAACAAAAAAAGACACCATTTTGGGAAACTATGGAAGTGTGGAAAAGTTCAGGTACTTATTCTTTGTTAGTTACAGATATGCAGAATTCCTTCAGAAAGGGAACCCTCCTATAATCTAATCTGCTTAAGTGGTGCTCATCAATGGCATACCCCATACCTCTCTTGGGAATATAACATCTGCTTGTAGAGTTAGCAGTAGTAGTAATAGTGGAGAAGAGAGAGGGGAGTGGAAAGAGTAATGTAGTCCCGGCTACTCAGGAAGCTGAGGCAGGAGGATCGCTTGAGTTTGAGGTTGCTGTGAGCTAGGCTGATGCCATGGCACTCTAACCTGGGCGACAGGGTGATACTCTGTCTCAAATAAAAAAAAAAAAAAGAAGAAGAGTAATAACGATGATGATGATGTAAGAGTAACTTAACATTTCTGAGGGTTTGCCATATGGCAGACACTAAGTTAGATGCTGTATGTGGGTAATCTCAATCTTAACAGTAGCTCTATGAGGCAGGAACTATTGTCATTTCTCTGTGTCACTTAAAGAAATTGACAGGGAAGTCACATAAGTCAAGGACTTCCTTTGAAGCAGAAGCTGCTATAACTTTATTATTGTTTCTAGATAGAAGATACTTTGAAAATAAATTTATTATAAAAATAGAATATGCATGGGATAAAAAAATGAAATCAAAGATAAAGAATTGGTATAAGGTAAAAAATTCTCACCATACAAAATTTTGGGAAGGGTGTGAAGTAAGCAGAACTTTCCTATATTACTGGTGGGAATGTAGAATGGTGTAACAAATGCTTTAGAAAGCATTTTGACATTTTCTTTAAAAAGTTAAACATACACCTCCCATAGGACCAAGTCATTCCACTTCAAGGTATTTACCCAAGAGAAATGAAAATATATGCTTACACAAAGACTTGTATACAAATGTTAATACCAGCTTTATTTGTAAGACTTAAAAACTAAAAACAACCCAAATGTCCATCATTGGGTGAGATACACAAACATAAGTTGTGGTATATCCATACAGTAGAAGACTACTTCGACATAAGAAGGAAGAAATTTTTTTTTTTTTTGAGACAGAGTCTTTCTCTGTTGCTCGGGCTAGAGTGCCGTGGCGTCAGCCTAGCTCACAGCAACCTCAAACTCCTGGGCTCAAGCGATCCTTTTGCCTCAGCCTCCCAAGTAGCTGGGAGTACAGGCATGCGCCACCATGCCCAGCTAATTTTTTCTATATATTTTTTTTAATTGTCCAGATCATTTCTCTCTATTTTTTTTTAGTAGAGATGGGGTCTTGCTCTTCCTCAGGCTGGTCTCGAACCCCTGACCTTGAGCGATCCACCCGCCTTGGCCTCCCAGAGTGCTAGGATTACAGGCGTGAGCCACCGCACCTGGCCAAGAAAGAAGAAATTATTGATACATATGACAACAAAGTCAGTGGTTACCTGGGGCAGCGTGGGCAGGGGAAAGGAATGATTATAAAGGATATGAGGATACTTTTGAGGGTGGTGGATAGGTTCACTGTCTTGAATGTGTGGATGGTTTCATGAGTATATATTAATACATAAGTCAAAACTCATCCAATTGAGGTCAGTTAAACTTCAGTAAAAGGTGTAAGTACATGCCTACATAATCCCTGTTTTCTTCTCTCATTCTTTTTACAAAAGGTAGTCACTGTTAATGGATAAGTATATATAGTTCCAGAAAATTATATAAAATATATATTTGCAACATATGTATGCAACTTGTGGTTTTATAAACTTAATATCACAAACATCCCTTCACATTGATGTCTGTAGACTTAATTTTATTTTTTTGTGGTGACTGCCTAGTTTCCTATTACATAATATGCCCTGATTTATTTACCAACACTTATTGATGGATATTTAGGTTGTTTCCAGGTTTTTCTTTTTTGTTTGTTTGTTTTTGAGACAGAGTCTCACTGTGTTGCCCGGGCTAGAGTGCCGTGGCGTCATCCTTGCTCACAGCAACCTCAAACTCCTGGG